ATTCTGTTGCGGCGTGCAACCCGCTCCTCCAACATATTCATTTACCAATTCTTATAGAAGAAAGTTTTCCGATAAATGCAATAATTAATATAAAACTATAAGACAACAAGCATACAATACTTATGATTTAATTATGAAACAACCAATGACAAATAGCAAATTATTATGGAAATCATGGAGAAAATAGGCAGTTTAGTATTTAATATGCTAAATGTCAAATAACAATTAAGACACATAATTCAAATAGCATGTAACAATTAATGCAAGAATTCAAAGATTAATGTTTGACAAAGAATAGGAGAAAAATAATTATTATAATAATTAATTCATGATTTAAAACAATTTATGATTTTTCAAGTAAGTAGGCAAACAGTTAATTTGACGACATATAGACACTCGTCACCTCGCCTATACGTCGTTCATATGCATTTAACATAACAAATAATTTAAGGGTTCTATTCTCTCACGTCAAGGTTAACCCCCGACACTTACCTCGCTTTGCAAATTTCAATCAATTATTCAACCACAGCTTTTCCTTTTAAATTTGCCTTCGAAAGCTTCAAATCTATTCACAAACAATTCAATACATTCAATACTAATCATACGAATTAATTCCATATGAATTTACGTATTTTTCTGATAAAAATCCAAAATTTAATAAAATATTCGACAGTGGGACCCACGTCTCAAATCTCGAAAAAATTTACGAAATCCGAACACCCATTCCGAGATGAGTCCAACCATACAAAAATTATCCAATTCCGATGTCAAATGGACCTTCAAATCTTAAATTTTCGTTTTTGGAAGATTTTATAAAAATCTGATTTTTCTTCCATAAATTCATGGATTCATGATATAAATGAGTATGAAATCATGAAATATAATCAATATATGATAAGGAACAGTTACCCCAATGTTTTCCCGTGAAAATCGCCCAAAATCGCCTCTTGAGCTTTTAGGTTTTGAAGATTTGGAAAATGAATCAAAATTCCCGTCCAAAAGTCATTTTGTTCAGCTGCAGGTGTCGCAATTGCGACCTGAGCTTCGCAAATGCGAAGCTCGCAAATGCGAAGCTCGCAAATGCGAAGAAACACTCGCAATTGCAATGCCTTTCACAATCTCACTGTCTTCGCAAATGCGAAGATTATGTCACATTTGCGACAATTGGACCTTCGCAATTGCGAAGATAAACTCGCAATTGCGAGAACTGGTGGCCTAGGCTTTCTTCGCAATTGCGATAAAAATCTCGCAATTGCCATACTTGCTTGGTTCGCATAATTGCGAGATCAGAGGCCTGCAACAGGTTCAGTTATGCCAGCAAAATTTTCTAAATTCAAAACATCCCGTGGCCTATCCAAAACTCACTCGAGCCCCTCGGGACCTTATTCAAATATCCCAACAAGTCCCGTAACATAACACGGACTTACTCGGGGTCTCAAATCACATCAAATAACATCGAAATTGCAATTCACACCTCGATTCGGACTTTGAGTTTTAAACTTTTCTATTTGCGAATCTCGTGCCAAAACATATTAAATGAATCCGGAATGACTTCAAATATAGCACATAAGTCATAAATTACATAATGGAGCTATTCACTTTTCCAGAATCGGATTCCGACTCCGATATTAAAAAGTCAACCCCGTGGTCAAACTTGAAAATCTTTAGCCTTTAAATTACTAGTTTCCGTTAAATGGTCATAACTTAAGATAGGGACCTCCAAATTAAATTTCAGGCATACGCACAAGTCTCAAATCACGATATGGAGCTATCAGAACTGTCAAAATACTGATACGTGTCCGTTTGCTCAAAATGTGGGTAATGATTAAAAAAAAAAAGACTAGAGAAGAGCTGTCGCCGGTAAAAAATGACGGTCCCCGGTGGATCATCGGGTAGGTTACCGACGTGGAAGGAGAGGGAAAATAATAAGAGGAGAGAGAGAAGAAGAAGAGCAATCGCAGCTAAAATATTTTCTGGACTGCGATCTCAGGGTAATTTTAAACTTCCCAAACACTGCGATAATAACGAGGTTTACAAAGCTCTATGTATACAAGTTGGTTGGGTTGTCGAAGAAGATGGCACCACTTATCGCAAGGTCAGACATTTAACTATTTTAGTGGTGGTCTTTAATTTTTCATTCCCAATTTTACTAATTTGTGCCGGTTTACTTATGGGTTTGTTGGTTGATTTATAAAGGTGAAATAAAAAGTAGCATATCTTTAGATCAACTACGTGAAAAATTGAATCTTACTGAATAAAGTTTGGCAATCTGGTCTTAGATATTTTCTCCCGCACTGTTTGATTGAAAGTCTTAAAAATAAAAGTTCACGGATTGATCTTTTTTTATCTCTTCTGGGTGGTATTTCTTTGTTGGAAATTTGCAGTGTCTGTTCTTGGGCTATCTTTGCTTTTTATTTGTTGATTTGGTATATCTTTGAGTTTTGTAGTAGTTTAACAGGTCTTCTGAAATTTGTTCCCTATTTACCCTAGTATGGAGCTAGAAAAATGCATATTTTCCGTTAGTGCTGAAATTTCTGATCAAATCTCAAGTTTTATTTTTTTTACCAGCTTGAATAGATTTTGTGCTATCCATCTATTCATCAAAGTTGCTGCTTTTCTAAAGATTACCATGTTCTAATTTTATGCTGTTTATAATGTTAATTGTGGACTGAAATATACTTAGACCAAAGAATGTAGTAATATAATTAGGGTTGTTCTAACCATTTATTCCCACTATATGCTAATTTTTTGTTAAATTATCTATAACTCAGGGATGCAAGCCTCCACCGAATGAGATAACTGGTGCCTCGATGAATATCAGTACATGTTCTTCAGTTCAGCTTAGCCCCATGTCATCTTTCTTCCCCAGTCCTGCACCTTCTTATCATGCCAGTCCTACATCATCTTCATTTCCAGGTCCCTCTCGCTGTGAGGGAAATCCGCCACCATATATCCTCCCTTTTCTCCATAATTTAGCTGCCATTCCCTCTTCTCTGCCTCATCCTCGTATATCTAGCAGTGCCCCTGTCACGCCACCTCTTTCTTCTCCTACTCGGAGATCAAAGCCCAAACCTGTATTGGAATCTCTATCAGCTAGTGCATTGCATTCTTTCTGTCATCCAATTTTCGCTGTTTCTGCACCGTCAAGTCCTAACCGTCGCCAACATTCTAAACCTGCTACTATTACAAAATGTGAAGAGTCTGATGCCTCCCCTGTTGAGTTTGCTCATTGGGTTAGCTCCCAGATAGTGGCACCTTCAGCAGCTCCAACTTCTCCTACTTTTAACCTTGTTAGACCTGCTTTTCAGCAGGATGTCCTCCTAGATGCCTTGAAAGGGCATGGGGAGTTTGGTTGTGGAGAAGCAGCTCAAAGGGGACGTGGCTCTGAATTTGATTTTGGAAGTGGAAAAGTTATGGCATGGGAAGGCGAGAGAATACATGGAATTGCGGTGGATGATCTAGAGCTCACTCTTGGGAGCAGAAAAGCACGTGCTTGAGCTATTGATAAGATTCAAGTTAGATGAAGGATTAGGAATATGTAAGAGCTCTTATGTCTTCATATCCGCGAAGTTTCAAGTTATGGACCAGTCATCTCAATTGTGTAAGATAGTCCCCATTGTGCCCAATTATTTGGATGTCTTGTAAACTTTCCCACTACACATGAATTTGGGTCTTCTTGTAAATCCAGCTGCACAGTTCTCTGCTCAAGGAATCAACACATGAAGTTAAGTTATCGATCGAGTTGATTATTAAGAGCAGCTTGGAGCCAGATCGCTCCAGAGCATTGCTAAGTCAAAACTGATAGAACGGAAGCAAAAGAGTAATCCCTTGACCCTCNTTGGCTAGCTTAGCTAGATCCTCATATGAACATAGTATCATTGTGAAAATATGTGTCTTGCAGACAAGTTCGTACATCAACTTAATCGAGCTTATGGTCCATCACTTCCATAAACACAACTTAGAGCTTAGCTTATTGTTTCAGTACATCAACTTAATCGAGCTTATGGTCCATTACACTACAATGGAAGTGACTTTAAGACAGCTTGATGTGGAAGCGTGGTTGCAGATGCAGAGGCGGATTTCAACTTTATGGGTTCTGAATTTCAGAAGGATGAATTCAAGTACTAATAACTGGATTTTAAATTCAATATTTTTACATATTTAATGAATCTTTTAACACATATACATCATTTGAGCAAAAGCTACTGGGGTTCGGCCGAACCCGTACTCGGGCTTCTAGCTCCGCAATGTGTCAAATTAGAGAAATCTAAGTATGAAAGGGACTTTCTTGTGTAAAGGCTGGTCCGGACTTTCTGTGCACTAAGGATCTAGTTGTTTTGGTCATCTTTAAGATACTATCCTACTCCTCATGTGCTCTATTTTGTTTGTTTCTTGGGTCAAACGAACGTCTGAAGCTAGCTAGCAACATAAGAGCCCCTTCCTCATGTGACATGTATGGCACACTTATCTCCTATAGTACCAACCAGTTTAACAGTTCCTGTGCTTCTTGTGACTCACTGCTGTCAGGTAGTACTCAAATTAGTTAAAACTCATCAATTCAAGCATTGAGATGTAATGTGCAGTTTGAAATACATACAATATATGTGCAGTTCATTGGGCCAAAGTTTCATTACTGCAAAATTGAATGAAAGCAACAGAAATTATTCGCAGTGTTATGTCTTTCATTCTCCCTTCGGTGATTGCCCATGTGACCATGTTATATTTTAAAGGGCGAAGTTCATTTGTAGCCACTAGGGCCAAACTTTTATCACCTGATAGCCACAAAATAACCCATACAAGTCATAGCCTAAAAATAATAACAAAGGCTAGCAACAACCCTACGCTCAACGCAAACCAAAAGGAAATCACTCCTAATCGATTTTGTATCCTAAATTCACGCCTTCAGTATGGAATCTTCAACCCCCAAGCAGTATAAAAGTCGCCCAATTATTCACATTGTCAAAAACAATCTAGGGTTTCTGAAGAGTAAACCCCGAGCAGAGCTCCAAAAAATTCACGCTGAAATTCTCAGTTTTTGCACAATTGCGGCCTACAATCAGCTTAATAGAGTTGAGATTTCGTTCTTAAATTTGAAATTGATACAAAATCGACAAACTCAACTAATGTATATTGAGATTGTGAATGTTGGAACTGCTGTTCCAATTTTGATTCCGATTTTACTTCAACACAGTTGTGAGTGGGTAAGTAAGAGTAATAGAGTTGAGATTTCATTCTTAAATTTGAAATTGATACAAAATCGACAAACTCAACTAATGTATATGGAGATTGTGAATGTTGGAACTACTGTTCCAATTTTGATTCCGATTTTACTTCAACACAGTGGTGAGTAGGTAAGTAAGAGTAAATTTGTAAATTTCCTTGTTAATGGCGTGCTGATCAATTCGGATTGTAGCTATGAGTATTTTGTTGATGAGATATACAAGCAATTGGGTAGAGATTCAATTACAAGTGCGATGGAGATAAAATATACAGTGAAGGATGGCTATGTAGCAATTCCAATATACAATGATATGAGTGTGCGCTTGTATATGGAGATGAAAAAGAAAAACCTGGATATCACTGAATATCCATTATGCATAACGTTGAAAACTGTGTGTTTAAGTGCTGAATGCTCATATTCAAGTTCATACTTGGGTGGTAACTTACTCGGAACAACTTCAGCTGGTTTACAATGTCAGAACGTAGAAGAAGTACACGGAACTGATATTGTTGAGATGATGAATAACCATGGAAAAGAAGACAAAATTGAGATAATGAAGGAAAATTGTATAATAGACAATCCACAACATGAAGAAATTGTAGAAGGTCAGTTGTATTGGGACAAAGATACACTCATTAGTGTAATAAAGCACTACACAATACGAGAAAAATGTCAATTTATATTGGATAGATCATCTACAACAAGGTATGATTCCTACGTATGAGATTGCACTTCTCTGTAATTTTGTGTATACTGCTTGTATAAAGAATGTATAATTATTGTATAATGAGATTGCATATGTATAATGCTTGTTTATTTGAGACACAAGTATAAAAATCTGAAGAAGTGCATTATCATAACACTATATTTTAAATAGGTATTGTCTTACATGCGTGGATAAAAGTTGCAAATGGAGTCTTAGATCTTCAAGTCTACACAAATCAAATGTCTTCAAGGTTAGATGGTTCAATGATGTTCACACTTGCCTAGAGACGAGTAGACTGTTTTCACAATGTCATGCTACTTCATTAGCCATTACAAAAATAATTTTCAACAAATATGCCAATCCAAAAATAATATACACTCCGACAGACATCATGAGCGACATGAAACAACAATATGTGATTAATATGAGTTGCGTAAAAGCTTATAGAACAAAAGAAAAGGCGCTTGAACTGCTAAGAGGGATACCACGCGAATTTTATAGTAAACTGCCGGGTCACTTATATATGATAAATATGACAAATCCTAGTTCTGTCACAATGTTACATAAATCAGAGGACGGGCGCTTCATGTATGTTTTTGTAGCACTAAATGCATCAATCATAGGATGAAAATACTGCTACCCTATTGTAGTGGTTGACAGGACATTCCTTAAATCATCACACATGAGGACAATGTTAATAGCTAGCGCACAAGATGCGGCAGGTGAATATGTCACAGTCTCGTATAATAATTATATATGTTATAGATAGTTGTTATTCGTGTATAACAAAAATAGTAAAATTTTTCCACTAGCATATGCTGTTGTCGATTCTGAAAATGATGCTTCGTGGGAATGGTTTTTTGAAAGGTTTAGATAGGCTTTTGGGGAAAGGGAAAGGATGTGCATCGTATCTGGTCGTCATGCAAGCATATTGAGGGGTGCTTCGATTGTATATCCTGAGGTATCTTACTGTGTATGCATCTTCCATCTTTGGAATAACATAAAGAAGCAGTTCAAGAAGAACCATGACCGACTGAGGGAAGTATTTTTTGCAATGGCCAGAGCATACAAAATTGAAGATTTTAATCGCCTTATCCAAGATATGGACATCATTGATAAGAGGGTAAGGGGTTACCTGTTCCAAGTTGGGTATGAAAAGTGGTCCATAGTGCATTCCACTGTTATTAGATCCATGGTGATGACTTCAAATATTGCCGAGTCACTCAATGCAAGAAACAGAGAGGCAAGAAAGCCACCAATCATGAGTTTTCTAGATTACATGATGAATTTGATTATGGAATGGAATAATACAAATAGAATGACTGCAATGAGTATATTTACTGGCCTAGGAAAACATATAACGAAGTACTGAAGGAAAATAGTAGTTTATTGCAGAAGATGACGGTAAATATTCCTTTAACATGTCTTACTTCATATGCCTAAATAACATACTTTGACAAAAGTGCATTAATACTTGTCATATCCCTGTTTTACTAATGATATATATTTAAATTTAGGTGAGGCCTTCAACCGATTATGTATATGTAGTAATGGATGTTGAACAAAGGCGGAACATAGTCTGCATGCAAAAAAGGGAATGCTCGTGCAAACGATTTCAAGTGGATGAGATTCCTTGTCCACATGCTATGGAAATATTGGACTACACACACATAGAAGCACCCAAATATTGTTCTGCCTAAAACACCAAGGAATACTTTAAGAAGATATATGAAGTGCCCGTTAATCCACTTCCAGATGAAACTACATGGGACCTTCCAATAGAGGTGTTAGATAATGTGGTCCTACCACCGATAGTGAAGGGCAAATAAGGAAGACCGACGAAGTCGCGACGCACGGGACTTTATGAATATTTGTATACTAAAACAGTTACGTGTGCACTGTGTGAAAAACAAAGACACAACAAAAGAATATGTAGGAATGCTCGAGACAACTAGTAGATGTTGCTACAATGATTTAGTATTTTGTAACTCTTTTCCTTGTGAATGTTACAATTAGAATATTGGAAAAATAATGAGATTTGCAATCAGATTCTCTCTGATGTATGAATAAAGATACTACTTTTTGTCGTAATGAAAGTATTGATAGAAGTTTTATTCCAAATACTATTATGGATGTCACTATATAGATGTCAATATACAAAATATATACAAAAAACGACTGTCACTATAAACTATACAAAATAGACTGTCACTATACAATTTATATACAAGACTGTCACTATACAAAAAATATACAAAATAGAATTTGTATATTTATACAAAAAAAAAGAAAAGAAAAAATAGACCGTCACTATTGTATATACAATTTACATACAAGAAGACTATTATGGATGCCACTATATATATGCCAATATACAAAATAGATGTCAATATACAAAATATATACAAAAAGACTGTCACTATACAAAAACTATACAAAATAAGCTATCACTATACAATTTATATACAATAGGTTGTCACTATATAAAATATATACAAAAAATATACAAAGTATATGTCACTATACAAAAAATATATAAAATAAAATTTGTATATTTATACAAAAAAAATAAAAAATAGATCGTCACTATTGTATATACAATTTACATACAATAGACTGAGCTATATAAAAATATGCAAAATAGATATCACTATACAAAATATATACAAAAACGACTGTGACTATACAAACAGATGTCACTATACAAAATATATATAAAAAAGACTGTTACTATACAAAATATATATAAAAAAGATTGTTACTATATAAAAATTATACAAAAAAGACTGATACTATACAAAAATTA